ATATATATATATATATATATATATATATATATATATATATATATATATATATATATATGTCAAATTTGTAATTATTTCGTATTTTAATATAATCAAATAAAGTTTTTATAAATAATTGTAAAATATTTCTTTAGAAATTAGTGCAAGTATATTTTGCTGTTGATTTAAAATTGAAAATTAAAGGTTTGCTTTTGTGTATATTGGTCAATTTAAAAATAATTATTAATTATGCTAAGTCTGGTAATGTTTCTATCGATTTATCGATATGTAATTTGATTAATATATATTCTCTCTCTCTCTCTCTCTTTTACACTAATTTAATTGATATAACTTATATTTACTAACTGCAAATGGATTTATTCTAATTTTAAAATAAACGGTTTAATTATTAAAAATAGGATGAATATAAGCCACGTTATATATTTCCGATTTGTTCAAATTATATTTGTACGTATTTTTATGAAACTAAAGAGGAAGAAGAAGAAGATATAAAAAAAAATAAAAAGAATTGAAATAACTTTTGCAAATGTATTTATCAACAACGCGATAACTTTGTTCGCGCATAGAGGATAACGACCAATAAAGTGGACTAACATTTAAAAACATTTAAAAACTAATTTTTTTGTTTTCAAATTTATCGTATTACGAACGATCTCGGAAAACGATACTTTCAATTGCAAACGATGCTATATACAAAGCTAATATGGATGAATAAAAAAAAAAAAAAATTGAAGAAACAAAAATTTGTAAAAAAAAAACAAAAAGTAGCCTCAAATCCGGCGTTATATCCCAACAGCGTTATTTACACACACACACACACACACATGAACACATGCACCGTGTGAGTATCGATCAATCGTTCGAATGAAAATATAATGCGCAAGTAGAGAGTAGAAGACGAGGAAGGAGGGAGGGAGGGAGGGAGGGAAGGAGGTGGGGGGTTTGGATCTGGAGGTTGTTCGATAGATAAGATATTTGAGATCGAAGGATAAATTCAACTAGTCCTGATCCTAGAAATCTTTTTACTACTCCCGATTGGTCGAGAGTTTTCGAATCCCGCAATCCGTTGGACGAGTAGAAGAGGCGTGTCATGGTAGGATAGCATAACATGATCCTAGAACACGATCCCGAAACGATCCCCAGGCTGACCGGTATCGATAGGAAAGTAAGGATTCAGCCGTATCCTGTTCAGGATGTTGCTTCGATCGAAACCGTTCTAATTCTCTTAACTCAAGCTAGGATGAAGTTGCCCACAGCCGCATTGTGTGAGCAATACACAGGGAAAGCCCATCGCCCCCTTTCCCCCAAGTCCCCCCCCCCCTCTTTATCTCTGTCTTTCTCTTCCTCTTTCTCCCCCGTGTTTCCTGCCTCATACCTTCCCCTCCCTATTGTCTACCCTTCTCAGTACTTTATTGAGAAAGCTCGCGAAAGTAAGCTGTTTATCGGCAACTCCCAGCCATTCCCGTCGTCATAGTATTTCCCCGTTGATCTCAACTCACTACGTTTCACTATCTTTCTCTTTCATTCTCTTGAGATTTGACTTTTCAAGGAGAGAACAACCTCCCCATCCCCAGAGTGAGAGGGAAAGAGAGAAAGAGAGTGAGGAAAAAGTAGATAAAGAAAGCTTTTCGAAAGATCGAAACTAAGAACCGGACTGGACCCGGACTAGACTGGACTTTTCAACGTGCAACATGATTATACTACGTACAATAAACAACGAAATAGATTTAATCTCTCGTTATTATCACGAGGGAGAAAGATTTGTATTAGGATTTGTGAAATTAACGCTATGCCGTCTTGTGCTACCACATTGGTGCCATGGGAATATTATCGGCCAATCGACGGTGGCTCCACGTTTGTGACGTTTGTCTCTTTTTAGTGTCGCAGTTTTATTGGTTTCACGCTCTTTTGTTTCACAACATAATAATCAGTTTTACTGGCGCAAAACGAAAATATTTTGATGAAATGTGCGGACCTGTGCGTTAACCTTTTAGTTAGGACGTGCCATTATAGTGGCTTCGTTACACTCGTTGAACCCTGTCGTACAAAGAAACAAACCCGAGCAACATTCACTCGTGCCTAAGATAGGTTAATGATCGTTTTTAAAACGTTTAATAGTTTTTCCATGTATTATTATTATTACGATTACACGAGATTGAAACCTTTTATAAATTTATAATGGATGATTGAAAAAGATAAATGTAGGATTTATCGATTGAAGAAAATCTAATCGATAATTACATTGATCGCGTCACGAGCTACGATGGAAGATTTAATTTATCTTCCTTTACCGCGACAAACCGTACCACTCTCTTACCAAAAGGAACACCAAAAAGCCATGGATGGCGGTTGGTTGTACGTGAAACGAGTCAGCGGTAATCGCTGTCCTGAAACTGGAGGGATAATCAATCAGGATATCGAAGGTCAAGGAGCTCTATCGTCCTACAAATTGGGTTACCGACATAGAACCGGATCGACCAAATCCTATTTCCAATTCTCTATTTTCCACGTAGTTGTAACCGAAGCTTTTCCTCCTTCCCCCAATTTCCCCCCAATTTCTCTGTCTCTATCTCTCTGCTTCTCTTTCTCTGTTTTCACGACGGATAATAGTCCGGGAACTCTTTTTTTTTTTTTTGGTCTTTTTCTTTTGTCTATTTTCTTCTCGAATCCGTACTCGAATCCTATCAATTTCGAACCTTTTGTAAGTTTTGTGTTTCCTTTTCTCATTGTTATTCCCTTAATGTCACCGATGGTAGACGATTTCGTCAGATTTTATATGCTCAAGTTAATCGATGAAATAAAAAAATGAACGATTTATTAATTTTATCTAATGTTTAGGACAACGTGTGAGACTCGTTGTTAGAAATTTGGAACAATGATAATAAGCATGAGTCTGACTCGTGGTTATTTAAACAAAACGTGAACAACACGAATCAGACTCGTGACATTTAGTTCTAATAAAATATGAACAACACGAGTCAGACTCGTGATATTTAGTTCAAATAAAATATGACCAACACGTGTCAGACTCGTGGTCCAGTTTTCTTCTCAATGTTTTCTTACTTTTTTCTTAAATAATTATTTAAATAATAATCCAACTTAGAAATGTATTTTTAATTAAGCTGAAAATTTGACGAAACGTTTGTGAATAAACTTTGCAGAGAAAGAGCGAGAGAAAGAGGGAGGATGAGAGAGAGAGACAAGTTTACTCTTACATACATCGGTTATCATTTATGTGATTTTAGCAGCATGAAGAGAGAGAAATAGCAAACCTACCGGCGAGACGGCCGTAACGTTGAAACATTCGTTCCACATCGGTCTTACTGCACTGAAACGTGTTTAGATTGCCGACAAACACCCGGGAATTCACTGCCTGTGGGTCCTGCGAATTCGTCTGATTGCCCACTTTGCTCATCTTCATCGCCTGAAACAAACAAATAACCAACGAAATGAACATTAATCTTGCTGACCAAATCTTTCTGCAATTTTACAACTAACAAAATATATAAAACATATATATATATATATATATTATATAAGAATATTTAATATTATTATTATATAGTAATATTATTTATTATCTTAACATTGACCGTAACATAATTAGGAATAAAAGCTTTTATCCTATTATAGTTTTTTTTATTAATTTATTTATTTTATATTATAAACAAATACCACAAAAATAATTGACAAAAGAAGTTCTGTTACTGTATTAAACAATTTGAAAAATTTCTTTTCCATCAGACTTATTCGTTCAATTTATAAATCCTTATTCACGAGCGTTGATTCAACATTATCGCGAACGTGAATGATAAAAGGGGGTATGACGGATGCGAATCGTTGTAATGGTGGTAGTGGTAGTGTATTGGTGAAATCCGTATCGGTGGTATCATAATTTCCAATGAACCAAGGCACCCAATAGATCATTCGCGTTGAGCATGATTAGACCGTGCTTCTCGACACGTTCAATGATAGGAAGAGAATTGTTAAACGATGATACACGAGAAATGAATTTGAAAGAAACGTCAAATATTTTTTCTCATAAATATATTAATTTATATATATATATATATTTTTTTTTTTCAAAACGTGAAACGACAAATACAGTGCATAATAATAATATTATAATAACGAAAATAAAAGAGAAAAAAAATCCCTTATCGAGTCGCGTAATTTATTTCACGAGTATTTTTTTCCCCCCCTGTACCACCCGGTTAGTCGGTGTGTAGTTTTTTAATTAAACGTCTACGAATAGAATGTAGATTAAATGCGATTTTCCGGACGATAAAACGGAAACGATGAATTCCCAAAGTGTATCCCGGGTCATTCGTTGGTTACTTTTCCCAATTTTTATTTATTTATTTTTTTTTTTTTGTTTTTCCTTTATTTTTTTATCTTTACTGAATAAAACGTTGTGTAAACTGATTTTTTATGAACGAATGACGTAATACGTTTCCCCCCACTATCTCACACTACCACAATATTTCTTTGTCTATCGAATCATTCGAACGAATCATCTGCTCGCATGTATCGATGAAACGCGTATAGATTTGAAACAAACAAAAAAATAACCCTCACTTCTTCCCCTTCCCCCTGCCACCTTCCCCCTCCTCCTCCTTCTCCCGCCTCCCGTGTTAATTAACACGCGACGGTGAAACCGTTTCGTTGCGTTATGTCACGTTCACAAACTCGATTCTATCTGTCTGCTGCTGTCGTATGTGTGTTTGTGTGTGTGTATGTGTGTGTTTCTACGTTTCTTCGATCAAATGATATACACATCATACAAAACTAACGAGATCGTTAGCAACATTTCTGTGTATTTTCAACGTACACCTGATAGGTAGACATTGCATATCACCTACTTGCTTCCAACCTGTGTTTTTATATATATATATATGTATATATTAATCCAAGGGACTGTTTTTCACGTTTCATTTTCATCTCTCAACTTTTTCTTCATTTGCTTCCCTCAACTTC